GCTTTGGGCCAATCCCTTTTGGGTGGACTCTTGCCCACGAGGGGATGGATCACTTCAGGTGTTTGATTTAGAAGTTACATTCTTTGTGTTCCGTATTGTATATTCACTGTATTAAAGTCCCTTTTCATTAAAGTTTTATATGTTTTGTCTTGTTGCAGCGGATGGCAGAACCCACTTAGAGCAGGCAGGTTTTGGGGGCTTTAAGGATGCCCCTCTCCCCCTGTCCTTAACAGAACTGGGGTGCCCTATAACAGACTTTGTTCTCTAACAGAATCGGGGTGCCCTATAATACATCCATCTGACAGTTTCTAATGTCTGTGTTGATAGGGAGTTGGTCTTTAATCTGATTAGCTACAGCTGCCTTGTCCATTCCTGCACACACCTGGTTCTTTCCAGAGAGATTACTGATGCTGTCTAGGGAGAAGCTCTTTTCTAGTCTCACATCTGAAGGTCATTCTCTGGAAGTCTCTCTCAGCTAGGAGCAGGAAATCATCTTGTGTCTTGAATCTTCTTTAAAGAAGTTACTTTTTTTCTGACCTAATTCAGAAAGGTTGTAATGAGATTACATAAAGAGGTTCCTTCTTTCATGCAAAAGCAGAAAATTAACATGTTCTGGGCCTGGGGATATTTATTTTCTCCTTTTCTTGCTGTCTTTCTAATTCTTCTCTGAACTTTAGGGTGGGTTTCCTCTACAGCTATCTGGGTTTATAGATAGGTAGGGTTGCTATTCTAAGTTTCACTTATGGGGAGCACCAAAATAGGCTTAACTTGAGAACTATATAGAGAATTTTATCCTAATCCACAAAATAGTGCTTATTCATACATTTCTAGGGCAGAATTTATTTTATATATAACTTGAGGGCTATTTTGATGCTGGCAATTTGTTGGCAATAAATTTTGACCTCACTGAATGATAACAGGACAATTGATATAATAAATACTAGTTTTACACCTTAAAATGCTTTCAGGTGAATAGACAAAGAAGTATATGTACCTGGGAAACATAGTATTTGATACAATTTTGTAAGGAAGAATTTTAATCAAATTTTCTTTTTACACATGACTTCATGAGTAAATGATTGGAAAGCTTATGATGTAAACAGCAGGAACATTGCCCTGATGTTTCAGGAGGTTAACTGAAATGCAAGCACAGTCTACTGAGCCTCTCGTGAGGGCAGGGACGCAGTGATGTCACACTCACCCGTACACACAGTGTGCAGCAGACACCAGCCACTCAGGGCTGACCAGAGAAGCACCACAGGTCAGCTTGCCGTTAAGGTACAGACTCACCACCCAGGGCCAGGCTCCTTCTTTGGCATTACTTCCTCCAACAATCTTCTGGTTGACTTCTTGAGCTGCCATTTTTTTCCCACAGGCTATTAAAAGAATTGAAGGAAGCATCTATTTTATTTTGGTGGATCTTCTCTGTTCATGACTATTAAGTGGCTCATCAATAAAACTTGAGGTTTAAACATACCAACTCTATTGAGAATGTCAAAATAAAAGTTGAAGGAATATTTACTTACATTTATGGTTACATTGTAACATAATCAGTGAATCCTGCAAACACTGTTTACTGTAACAGAAGAATAATTATATTTCAGAAATTGTGCACCTGACATTTTACAGAAAAATATAGTTTGGGTTATACTATTTTAGGAAAAAATAAATGGACTTTTAAATGTATCAGATTAAAATGTGGGGAGATGGTAATTTACCCTGGAGAAAAATCCTCAGTTTCAAATCAAACAGAGCTGAGTTTATATACTTAACTCTACCACTTAATTCTTTCTTTTTTTTTTTTTTAAGATTTATTTATTTATTCATACAGAACTGGGGTACAGAGATGCGGAGGGTGAGAGGATTCACCAGAGACAGAGTGGGGAACAGAACAGACAGATCTACGAAGTACACTGCTGAGGGGAGCAGCGGGCGGGTCAGGAGAGGTCTGCCACGCCATGTGGATCTCCTCCGGGGCAGGCGTGGATCGAACTCATGCGGAAGTGGCTTAAGCTTCTTAGTGCAGTGCTTTAACCTGCACCACCAGGGAGGGCCCCTACCACTTAATTCTTTATGTGATTTCTGAATAAGCTCTTAAATATCCGTGAGACTCAGTTTTGTTATCCATAAAATGTGAGTAAAAAGGGATTTATTGGAATTTTGTGAGAAGAAAAATTTCTAGTGCAATTATGCCTTAAACACAATGAGCATTCACTACATTGTGACTGTTGCTAGTTTGCTTGAACCGATACTGAATTTAATCATTTTTTAGTACAAAATGTGACACATTATGGCTAATCAGAGAACTATTCAATGCTCAACTCTATGCATGATATTGGACTTTATACCGAGTTCAACAATGAATAAATCACAGTCCCTGCTTTCGACAGAGCCAGATATGCAGATGAAAATAGAAATATATAAAAGAAATTGTAGGCATAAATAATTTAAAAACTCACTGTCTGCTTGAATACTTGGATGTCAACTTTCCCCCCAAAGTCAAGAATCCTACTTGAAACAAAAGTTTAAACAAAGAAAAATTGTTTCTAAAATGTGTTATACTTATCAACCACTAGAGGTCCGTATAGTACAAGACATCACGAACGTGGCCACTGTTTTCCTGCTGCAGCCAGCCACTGCAGGTACTGGTCACATTAAAACACTTCCACACAGATACATAATTTTAATGACTTCTATTTATGTATTTAACTGCATGTAATTGTGAATATTTTTCTAGGGGTTTGAAATTTTAGGTAAAAGCAAAAGATACAAAACAGATCTATATGAGATCATAAGCACAATCAAAGCAATTCAGTGCTTCTGTAATATACATGATAAGGTTTATTTGAAATTGCATGTATTCATGCTGTCTGACTGACATATCCTTTAGAAATAGAGGACAATTTCAAATCAAATATAATGGCATATACTTACATTTTGTATTTATATTTATATTTTAATAAGCAATGTCTTATTAAAGACATATAAATATAGGTATAAATATAAGTACTTATCATCCCCAAAGAAACCTCAATGAACTCCCCTTCTTGTTATCCTCTCATGTTTATCCTTTATAGATTCTTTGGAACATGTTATCAAGTTTCATTTAAACTCTTTCTACAACTATAATCCACATCAGTGAAATCTGTTCAAAGTAGTTCATTAAGGTGGCTCTGTGGTACAATGGATAGAACATTGGACTTCAAACTAGTTCATAATTCTTAGGTATAAAGCAATGCTTAGTTGTATGCAGTTGTTCTGTTATACGTAGAAAAATGATGCATTTCTTTTTAGTGACCACAGCAACTTAATATTTAGCCAGAAAATTAAACTGAATACCTCACTCTCCAAGTATTTGCATCAAAAATTTACCGCACACATATATATTGTCTTGGTACAGAAAAGGTGAGTGAAATCATTGTATTCATACTTTGTCTAAGTATATTTAGAGACATGAGAAAGAAGCAGAATCATCATCCTACGCTCTGGCCTGAGTCAGAGCTAGGTCAGCCCCCTGTGCAGGATAAAGGTGACAAATAGCATGCTCCTGGCATTTTACAGAAAAACAGTGGGAAGAGGGACAGGAGAAACGACATAATGTAAGCTAAACAGATATTTGAACACAAGAAAGATGCTACTTTTTGAAATAGTCTTAAATGTGAATCTAATTTTAAAGAACAAAAGAGCAGAGGTAGGCACAATTGAAGTCTGGACTTCTTAATATCTGTATTCTCTTTGCTAAGGCAGAGAAAATAACAACTTGACTTTCCCTTCCTTTCTTTTGATGATAGTTAATTGTGTTGCAATCATTAGTCTTATCAACTTTGGACCTATTTATCCCAGCTCTCATGATATCTTTCACTTGATTTTAACTGTTTATGAATCTGGGGTTAAGAACAAAAGGGTATGGAATTACAACTTATTAGACCACTACCAGCATGCTAGACAACTACACATGTTATATTTTATACATTCGGTAAGACAGTCAAATAATACATGTAGATATCATATACAGACCACATAGAACAAATTAATAAACATCTTAATAATCACACATTTACATTACTGTGTGTGTGTATGACTAAGTGATGTTATCATATAGAATCAATTAGATTCAGTTTAAGATTACCTTTACAAAAAAGTTAAATCAATTTCAAGGTTATATGGCTAGTTTGTGTTATTAAAACTTCCCTGACTTGAAAAGTTTATCTTCTTTCCAATTCGGGAGCAGATTTCAAGACCCACCTTGGCGTTAGTATTAAGCTGCCACTTGGTGCTGTGCTTACTGTTACAAATGGCCCACTTCCAGTAGAGAAAACTGGCATTGATGAATTTCCGCTCCTATGGGGAAAAATACATATGGAAAAAACAAAGCACAAACAAAAGCCATCAGTCAAATTTCTACTGGTTGAATGCCGTGGACACTGAGAAAACTTATGGACTTCCATTCAAAGAGATTAACACTTAACATAATTGTCAAGTATCTTACTATCCAGAAGATGGTACAATCAGAAGTAGAACCACCCATAATGATAGAAGATTTAATTTTAATTAATGTATCTGGCTTTATCACTTGATCTTTCTATTTTGTTCAACAGTTTCCATAATGTTCCACTTTAATGGCAGCCTCACAGAATTGCTGTATGTAATTTATTAAACGACTACCAGAGGTAACTCTATAATGAAAAGACTTTTCTGCATGGCAGGCAAACGTCTGTTTATCAAACATTTGCTCTTCTCATTTTCGTGAATTTTGTGCCTCAGGTTAGGATCAGCAGACACCTTATCCTGTCTCCTTAGTCACATCTTTTTAATGGAACACGTGTACACGTCTACATATTACAATCTGATTTTCTCCTATATATTTGTTTTTATGTCCATTTAATGGTCGAGCCACCAAAGAACTCAGAAGTGGAAGGAAGGAAAAGTTTTCCGCCCTTGCACTTGGGTTCCTAGGATCCTTATCTACTGAGTGCGGACATGCGGTGCGCGTTCTTCTAGTAGTTTCTCTGTTCCTGACTCTCCTTGACCAATGATTTTCAAGTGCGTTCTACAGCATTCGCCTCAGCTGCAAATGAGACCCACACTGTCAGGTCGCCAAGGTGGGGTGTGTCTTTAAATAAATCCTTCAGTTGATTCTGATACTTGCCAGCCAGGGAGTTATAGACACAGCCATATAGAAATCTATTTCTTTGCTCGTTCGGGGTCTGCTTCCTGGTGTCCAAAGGCATGGCTAAGTACTTGATGAACAATCTCTGTTAAGACCCTCCTGACTGCCTGGGAGAACATCTTGAAGGATAATTTACTAAAAATATGTCTCAGAGATGTGACTCTAGGACTCGTGTTCTAATTTCTCTGGAAATTCAAAGCAAAATGTGGGCACAATTTAATTGAAAAAATACCCAAAATTTATCTATAAATCAGCGTTTTAAACTAGTACTTATTACATGCCTACAAGTGGCATGTCACCATGACAAAACTGGCAGTTAAATATTGAAGCTAAATCAATGCTAGAAGAAATGAACTAAAGGCAGGCATTTAAGAATAAAGACTATGTGTTCAATGCTGATTATTCTACCCTAGAATTCTCAGTGTTGTTTTCTCTATCAAACAGAGAAACTGAGATGATATCTGTCTGGGGGGTGGGGCTAGGAGGAGACACACATATATTTTATATTCTGAGATTGTCTTCTCTCCATTTTTGGCTGAGATATAACATGAGAAAACAGACTACAGTTAGCAGTGCACATCAGCTATTTTGCATTTGCTGGAAAATGGGTTAAACTACTCTTTTAAATAAAAACGTATACAGTAATTGTGTCTTTAAGTTTTTATAGTAAATATGGATAGCAGCAACTTAACGGTGGTGTATAGGACCATCAGTTCATACACACACTTCCAGATGTCAGTGTGGATAGAAAAATGTGGAATCTAATTTGTGCAAGATGAGCTGCATTTTCAAATCCTGTCAAGTTGAACTCATCCTTTCAGACCGAACACAATTTATTCCGGTTTGTATTCACAGTAAACAGAATATATGTGGCAGAAGGAAGTTTGCAACAAACTTTTTCCCTATTGAAGAAAGTGATGGAAACAATAAAAATATATTAAAAGCGTTCTTGGCAGAAATGCCAATTTAGCAACTACATATTAAACCACAGTTTACATTTGAAAAACAAAATCTCAAAACTGATAAATTGAATCACAAGATGATATATTAGGTTAAAGTCTGTAATGTAAGTGTGTAACTGAGTACTTTCCTGCCTCAGTTTCCTTTGCTTGCAAGGAAACTAGTTATTTTTATAATTTTTTAAAAATACTTGTCATGTGCATTTTTTTTAAGTTCTGAAAATGCTACAGCTCTGCAGATTTCGATAATTGGGCCACACATTTGCAAAGTTGTTGGAAATAATAAAAGCTTGGTATCACACAGAAATGCTATTCCACACAGCATTACTTTGTTGACTCGCTAATGCTTTTGACTACCTAATCTAAACCTCCATTACCATTTTTATAAATTATGCACCCTTAGAGTGCTCCTCCACTTCAGGGGATCCTCATTCTATGTGAGCAGAAAGCCAATGAGAATGCAACAACTATTTTTTTGAATGTCATATATGGAGTATAAAAATACAACTGTAGATTATTTTCCAGAGAGAAAGAAGAAGGCTATTCAAGGTGTCTTGCATAGTATCAAATCTCCAGTTTCTTTTCTCGTGCTCTGCATATGGTTCCTTCTTTTGTCTCACTCCTCACACTGTATTTGCTGTGATAAGATTTCCTCCCTAAGGCAGGAGCTTAGGTGGGGTTGTTTGAGGCTTTTGGACCCAGGAAAGCTAAAGAGAATAATAACACATGTTGCAAATGCTGCAGCCAGGTGCTGTATTTCCTTTCACACCCCCCGAAAGGTTTAAGTAATGAATCGAGCCAGGTGGGATTAGCCTGAAAGGGTTTTAGAGAAGGTTGGGTCTTCCTTTTCAGATCGGAAGGAAGGAAGGAGATTGATTTGGCAAGACAGAAGGTGGAGGAGAGCAGTTGAACTGGCAGGGGAATGATGAAGGAGAGAGATGTGAGGCATATATCCCGTGGGGAGTCAGGACAAGTGGACAGTTAGGTATCCCCATGAGTGGACTGGACACATTTCAACGGCACTTGCTCATTCATTTACCATATTACAGCAACAGACTCAGCACAATTAACTCTTAGCATACAGGTATGCTTAATAAGTGTTATAATTTCTCTGACTTCACCTCTTCAAATTTGTGACATACAGAAGGCAAGAAAAAAATGGAACAAAAACTAATCTTCACCTATTCAGTTGTTTATTTTGGGGGAAACTATTTTATTAAGAATAATAGCAGCTGCTCTCTGTTATCTTATAAATGTAATGGCATTAAGAAGAAAACAAACTCCTGCAGTCTCCTACCGAGAACATGACAGATAAAAAAGCTAAGTAGGGAGACTCATAGAGACAAAATCTCCATGGACATTATAGTCTTAAACCCTGAACTATGACATTTAAAATAACATTTTTCAGCAGTTTATGGGAATTTATTTCTGAGTAAGATGTATATGATAGCCACTTCCACATTTGCCATGAAGTTTTTTCAATACATATATTTTTCCATGCATCGTTACTCCATAAGGACATAACATAAAATTTCCTTTAGAATTTTGAGTTGGGAGAAATCTGTCTCCCCTATGGTATGGTTAACATTTATCCTAGCTTCTCATGAAAATTATGCATTTTAAATTTTTTCTTTTGGTGTGAATTTCCAGGAATCTCAGACAGGGATATTAGTAATTGTACTTCTCCTGTATGTTCTATAATTTATCTCCTTATTTCTTTGTCTTATTTTCATCTATAATATTAACATTAGTGCCTATATTAATATTATAGATCATATTCTTTGTTTATCAATATCCTCAGTTTCTGTGGAAAACTATGTATATGGAGACTACAAGGAATGAAATGAAATAAGGGAGAAAAGAAGGAAGGGAAGAAGAAAGCATAAAATAAAGGAAAGAAGGCAAGGATGGAGCTAGAGAGGGACAAAGGAGATAAAAGTGGAAAAGGAAGAAAAGAACTTGAAGGAAGAGAGGACAAAGTAATTCTCCATTCTATTTATCAAGTTTACTTAAAATTGCCTTGGTCTCATAGAACATATAGCACTATTTATAGGTGGAACAGTTGAAAATAATTTTTATAAGGGAATAGAATGAACAAGAATTTTTATTGTTGTTAATTTTACAAGTTGAAAGTTTTCTATCCTTATCTGTTTCTATTTTAGAATATAGAGGCCTCCACCTCCCCAAAGAACCACACTGGTTTACGATATTGATTTGGGGGAAAAATATAATCTTCTGTTTTACATAATAAACTAAAAAGTATACAGAGCAGAAAACTACTTGTATGTGACTCAAACTCGTACTGATACATAAAAGGGATTTTCTTAACATTATATATATATATAAAACAGGGTAGTGTATTTTCCGAGAAAATGTTAAAAATCACAAAGTTTAACATTTATTGTTGTATCAGCGATTGTTTTCTCTCATACTTTGCTCAGACACATGAAAATGTCATTCAAAGTACTTTTTCACTTTACATGTGCTATAAATGACAGGATGAAAGTGCCTCATTTAAAATTGGGAAGGCCAATGCAGTGTGTCTTAGGGTTTCCTAGAATCTGGGGGGAGTTGCATTTTGTACCCCATCTGCCTAAATAGTTTTGAGACTACAGTGCCTTTTGAATAAATGGAGTCCTAAATTACCTTTTACTGTACCAAACACTTCCTTCTAAACTCACTGATTTCTTTCAGTTACTATGCGCCAGTCTAGACAAATGGTCATTAAGGCTCTAACTGCCTCTCAATTGCTAGGGCACTACAGAGACTACTCAATCAGGGCAGCCCCCAGATGAAAGCCTTTGCAGAGATTACTGGCTCATTTCTGAAGAAAGCCAGTGCCTGACCTTTATCAAAAACATTGGAACGCTGGACCAATGGTGGTGAGATGCACTGCTTGCTTTACAACACTAAAAAAAATGCCAGTCTTTGGCTCTCCAGCTGGAAGCACCATGATCCTCAGGAAATGAGGTCAGTGAACTAGAGAGTAAAATCTGGCTAAGTAAAAATCGTGTAAATAGATAGTACACAGTTGTGTGGAATTGGCTGCCATCCACTTCTCTCAGCCCATTTTCTAGAAAGCCTTCCCCGACATGTCCAAATTGAGTAGGTTCTCTTAGAGCACACTCTATTTATCATATATATTGCAATTATCTACAGTATTTATGTGCTTATCCCCACCATGTTGAAAGCAAAATGTGGAACAGACACAGTTTCATTGCTAATGCTTGGGCTTCTGATCCCAGTGTAATCTAAATAATGTATTTGTATTAGCAACTGTTGAAAACTAATAAAGATGTATGTGTCCTTTCCAGGATATTGTCTCAGACAATTGCAGAAATCAGCAGTATGCTATCACCCAGTACATACTAGTCAAATTCATTAAAAAAAAAAACAAAAAACTTCTGGCAAACAAAGGTTGATCATTTTGACCTTTGTAAATGATTCCTTTAACTCCATATATCCTCCAGGAAACAATCTAGTTAAGATTCACAAACCACATTAATCATGCTTGGAAAGGTGGCAGATTTCCCCCGCTCTGTGGGGGAAACCCAATCATCCAGGGCATCAGAGCATCAGTTGAGGAAATAACTGAAGTTACCAATCTTAGCCTAATTGTTACAGACTAAGATCCTGCGTCTGTGAAACGGGGCCTCAAGTATCACCAGTAATTTAGTAGTGGAAGTAAATGACCTTCTAGAACCTCATCCGGATGAAGTCACTCTGCAGTGAAATCAGTCCTCAAGTAGGAACCTGAGTCAATGACACTTATCTAATGCTTTACTAGTAACAATATAGGAGATAAAGGTCAGTTTCAGTTTCTTGTTGATTTCATCAAAAAACACTGTTATTCACCCTTCTCTCTAAAGTCTGAAAACCCATCTTGTTGAAAGGTATTGATAGAATACAAGCTATAATGTATAATCAAAGGGAATTGACACACACATGCACATATAAAGTGCAGGAAGATTCTAACAAACAAAAGCTAAATTGATGATTATTTACAAGACTGGATGATGACTCATTTCCTTGTGTGCTCTTGATAGGAATTGCCTTCCTGATGAGACTGACTTCACCTGCCTGATGCTTGGAGCTACAGAATTCTAAATGAATAGCATTTTAGGAGAAAAGGTGAGTTGAAAGATTTCAGTCTTATTGCAGTAAGTTTTGGGAGGTTCTTGATAATCTGGCTAGAAATCAACCCAATTCTCTATGATAAATGTCTATATGTGATGGTTAGGCCTATTTTGACTTGAGTATAGTATATCTTTCCTCATGTTCTAGAAATTAAACAGCTGTTACAGGATGGACAGAAGACCTAATCACTGCTTACAGTGCTATTTCTAGAGGAAAATATGTTTTGTGTTAAAAGAGAGCCACTTGAACATAAATTTTGAAAATGTGTATGGCATGAGAACTGTCTTTATGAACTACTAATTAGAAAGAGACCCATGTAAGGGAGGCAATTATATTTTATTTTAATTATCAAGAAATAGCTGAGACAACTGCCAAATGCTGAGTATATCATGGATGTGGAATCAAATTTTCCTTTGTAACTTTATATAGCTTTTTAGAACACGTTAGAAAACCATTTCCAGTGCAGCACTTAAAACATGATGGGTTATAACTGGACAAGTTAGTAAATTATACCTGTATTTACATATACATGTAACTTATATTTAATGAACAATTTGCTTCTTCCACAACATTTTTTAACACAGTATTTTGAGACAAGGATAAGTCTAGATGTCAGCAATGCAATAATGTATAAAATACATCTGATTCTTACCATGATTTCATAACTTACTACGGTAAGTGAAATAAACAATAAGCTGTTACAAGTGACAAGCGTATGTTACACAATATGGTTAAGTCTCCCCAATTATGAGTGCTGAAGGATCAGATGAAAAATCAGATAGCTAAATTGTATATCTAAAGGAAGTAAATTACAACTACTGAATATCTTCCATTTTCAACATACAACTTTTGTAACTGATAGGAAAGTAAAAACAACGGCAAATTCTATGTTTGATTCATTATATTATGACATTAGATTTGGAGGTACAGAAAATTTTTGGTTCATTGCAAATATGAATCACTTGAATTATCCTTCTTGGAAGTGTCTTAAAATTGTGTATATCCTTATACACAATCATTATATTGCAATGCATTTTCTAAGAGAACTATTGTGCACATGTTACAAACTTATTAAAAAATATGTTCCCTGTGGTAGGTGCCGTTCCAGTTAGGTACATCTATTATGATAAAAATGAAACATGGTGTTATTTTTTTTAAAAGATAATGTTTAGAAAATACTATGACAGGGGAAATCACTCAAGTGTAAGAAAACTACCATATGGATCACATAGTACAATATTTATAATGTAGTATTTCTATAAATTTCATAAATTTATAAAAAGGTTGTTGGCAGTGGCTAACTTATTGGGAGTGGAGTTAAGATTTGACTCCCTAGATTCATAACTGTCATCAATTTTAAATTCCTTTGAAAACCCAATTTGATATCAAAAAGTTTCAGAATCTCTGAAGAGGAGGCAAGTATTATTACTTACCCTAATCCCAGTAGTTGGCAAACATCATTTGAAATCTGCATGGTCCAGTTCTCAGCACAAGCCACATACCATACATTCTGAATTCTGAACTGCACCAAACCATCGTTCTTCGTTGTTGAATTGAAAAGACGCACTAAAAAGATTAGATCACATACAGGGTCATTTGGACCTAAGTAGATCAGATGGACTAAGTAAATGATGGACTCTAAACTAAATGTGCAATGTTTAGAGTTTACAGTACTACAGAAAGGCTATGTTGAAAATATAAATTTGATAGACTTAACTTTGCTTTTTCATGTAACTAAAAATGAGCAAGGCAGAGATAGATAAGTTCATTGCATATCAATGAAGGAAAACAGAAAGTACAGTTATGTCTTAGAAACATAGTCTCTAAAAGTAGGGAAACTAAAGTTCAGGGTCAGTATAAGGCAGATTTTCCTATTTATTTTTCCAGAAGTTATTTTCAGGCCATTTGTTCCTTTGTCATTTTGAGTTCTATCTTCTCCATCTATAACCATTTTGGACAGGCATTCAGTCCATTAATGGCCAGGTAGGAATTGGGCCAACCTAAGCTAGTTTATCAAATAAGTAAAACATCAGCAATGGCTGTTTTATCCACAAACACCATATTGTAATTCTGTAAGCAAACATTATTGTTCATATATTTTCTCTATTACACGAAGAGTAAGGGCGTTATTGACTTAGATTTAGACAACTTTGTCTTTAAAACAGTTCAAGCCCTTGGCAGTCAATTAGCTTCATCAAGGGTTGGTTCTCTTAAGGCTAAAATAGAGATAGTTTCCGCTATATTAAGATTTTTTTTAGGGCACTTAGTTATAGTGCTTGACACATAATAAGCATGTATGTAGAAATAAAAATAAGTCATAGTCCCAATACTCAGGTTATAAACTACAGGCAGAGTGACTAACTAAAACTTAGAGGCAAAGGAAAACTGTACTGAAGGGCCAAGAATGCAAAAGATCAAGTCTAAGAAAATCAATTATAAAAAAGCATAATTTTTCTCTGTATGTAGGCAAAGTACAGAAAATAACATTCAGGATGTCTGGTGTGGGCTCCTGTCTATGTGATGATTTATGTTTTTATGTGCATATATATTTTCCTAGACATAAAGTTATTAAATATAGTAAATAAACAAGCTAAAACACAAGGTTTTCTTGTTAACTTTTCTTCTAACCAGAATGGGAGGGGGGCAGAATTGCTGAATTGCTAGTAAGCACATTCATAATCTTCTATTAATTTATAACCTCCATAGGCTATAGCAACAAAAGTATTATTTTGAAGAATAAACCTACCACAATGTTTTTCATCTGAGCCATCCTGACAGTGTGGAACACCGTCACAGAGATTCACCAGTGAAATGCACTCTCCATTCATACACTGAAAATGATGTTCCTCGCAGGGCACTATGGGGAAAAGAATATTTATTGTAAAGGATAAGGAAATGAAAGGTGATTCTGGAGTACCTGTCTCATATCTGTCCCTGACACAGCAGCTCTTTGCCATAGCACATGGTTGAGCTTGCTTTTGTATTAAGACTTAGTGGTTCAGAATAACTCAGCAATAATAGTGCTGAAACCAGAGGTGACGTGAGAAGAATGTGGCTAAAACTGTAGGCATCACCTTTGCAACAGAGCATGGGTCAGTTCTAAGAGATGACTGAGGTGTAGCACACGCTTCTTCATCACAAACTCTTGGTAGTATTTCTTCAATAAATACTTCCATTTCAAATTTGCATAAGCAGCAATCATTGCAGTATGTGACAGAGCACAGAGAGATTGTTTGCTTTCCCATCCAGATGATAACAAACCTTTATGATGTAGAAGTGTGGATGTTGTCATTTGGTAGAACTACAGTTGGGCCAGGCTGTTGACAGCAAGTTCAATCCAAATGGTATTCGTAGAGAAAAGTATCCCAAAGACCTAAAGCTCTACAAGCAGTGATTTGATAAGAAGTTGGGGGTAAAGTTTCAAACAAGTAAGGAAGGTGTAGACTCATGAAAATAAAATTGACATGTGAAGAGACAGGGAAAGGTAAGAGGCTGAGCAAAGTAAGAGGCTGAATGGCACTGAACTGACAGGACAGCAGAGAGTGGTTGTTTCCAGAATGGTCTACTGAAAAATATTTATGTTTAAAAGGAGTGGGCAATGACTGTTTCTGGAATTGTTTATTTGGTCTTGAAGAGGCCCATTTCTCCAGGAGAGAAGGGTTTGCTTCCCTCACAGTGTTTCCTACCATGACCTAGGAGGACTAGACTGCTCCTTGCAGATCAGTTTGTAGAGAACCACATGGGACTTGAATTCCCTGCAAAGGTAGATAGATGGTCATTGGGTTTGGAGAAGTTAATGTCTCTTCCTCTCATTTGTCTTCAGCATACTGAGAATCATACTGAGAAAAGTTCCGGGAATATATGACCTTGATCTGAACTGCAATTTAGCTATTTTTTTTTTAACCTGGGACAATGCAATACTGTTTCCTTAACTGTCAAATGGGGAAAAGAACTGTTTATATATTAAAAGTGTATTTAAACAATGATAATGAAATTCCTGTAATATATCTCACTAAATAAACAATATTCTTAACAAAATAGTGACATTTACAAAAACCTCTCATTTTACTGATAGCTAACGTTCTTATTCCCATAGCGAGTGGTGGTTCTTTTCCCTGCTGATAACCAAATAAGCAACCAAAAAATCAGGTCTAAGGCATTCTTCTGAGTATCTTCTAACAGTGATTGAAGCTCTTTAGATACTTGATTTTAAACTTCAAAAGATTTTATATTTCTTCAATCAGAATCTAAGTTGCTTTAAAGAAAAAATGTTTTAAGGAAGACAAGGCTGGTCTGGTTGTTTTGATAAATCTTTATTCCATGAGCAAAGTAGGTTGCACATCTCTGATATAATGCTATTATGGAGGCTCTTGTAAATGTAATTGTCAATTTGTTTCACAAACACATACTTTTTAAACAAGATTAGAGGGATGATAAATGTGTAGAGATAATGACATATTCTACAGGCAAAGAGTTAGTATTTTAACTGACTTTATAATACCTTCCCTGTATTAGTCTTTTAGAAAGTAGGAATGCTTAAATCTAGGCATACATATGTTATTTTAAAATCTATGCTTGGTATATTTTTAAAAGGTTGACAGCACTAATAACATATCCATGATCAACTATCTTAACATACTTTTACAATGCAAGTCGCCACTAATTTTTAAATTATCTCATTACTTTGTTTTCATAGCTTGATGAAATTGTGATGTAGAAGAGTTCTTAAAGTGAATAATTGAATCATAAATAAATTTATTGATAATTTTACTCTTTTACTAGTATAGTCAGGCTGTATTTTACTGGGAAAGCATATATTCATTGAATGGAAACAAGTTTAATTATCTGAATAAAAATATAAATGAAAATGTGGAAATATCTAAAAATTATAATTCACTTTTTGTGGTCTAGCCCATGCTACTAGCAGTATACTCTATGAATTCATAAATATTAGTTTACTTAAGATGTCCCCATTGGATGAAATGATGCTGAATGGGGTGAAATAATCTATTCTTGATAAACTGAATAAAAAATATAATTTCTGAGAAGAGGCATAAGTGAACTCAACATTTTTTTACATGCATGAACTGAATGGATTCTTTGCAACATTTAATAGTTTAACTTCATTAAGAGTCTTTAATTCAAAAGTTTCTCTGTGGCCTCTGAAATCTCATTTCTGATCATTTTATGCTCATAATAAGAGAGATAAGAAGAAATAATGCTAAGATCTGAATTTACCAATCTTCTTTTTCTGAAGTCTCCAGTAAGACCATATGCCTGGTTTAAAACAGAACTGAGTTGGGCCTCCCTGGTGGTGCAGGGGTTAAAGACAGTGCTGTCAAACTATTGCAACCACTATTATCACCTGAGTTGGGTCCCAGCCAGGGAGCTGACCCACATGGCACAGCAGACCTCTCCTGTTTTGCCTACTGCTCCCTTGGCAGTGTATTACAGTCAATCTGCCTGTTCTGCTCCCCTCTCTGTCTCTGGTGAATCTTCTCATGCCCCCTGCACTTTTGGTCTATGACCCAGTTCTTTGATCCATATAGAAATAAATATTAAAAAAAAAAATGGAACTGAATTGATTTCTATGGCACATGCCACACAATATAGGGAGGGCTTGACCCCCTGGATGTAATCAGCTGTCACCTGCACAGTTGCCTGAGAACTACAGTTGAATTCCAAATGAAGACTCTGAATATCAGAAAAGAGCAAGGAGGAGGTAGTTACAGGAGACTGATCTTAATAAATCCAAATCTCATAGACTCAAGCTAATGTAAATAGAAAGGTTAAAATAGGATAAAGCGAGGAGATAAAAAACACCTCATCCAATTGTTTCACACTTCAATTTAATGCATTGCAAGCGGCCCCTAACTCTCTCCTAAATGAAGCACATCAATGCTGAAAGCTTGTGCTATGTCTTTTATATTTTTCAAAAATGATCACCAGAGTAGAGTTGCATATAAAGAGAGATGTGTGCCTCATCTCTTTCTATTACCAGTTTGATTATCTTCCCTGCCAACTCCCTGCTTCTGTAATTGCTTTTCAGTCGTTAGTGCAAAAATCTTGCTGAGAAAAGACTGTGCTGATGACAACCACAGGCTCCATTTCCTGTTCTCTGGCAGCTTCTAGCCACATCCAGCGGGATGTGAAGCCACATTCCCAGCGTATTCACTACCACGGGTGGCCGTGCAAGAGCCCATGTTACCTCCAGTCAAGAGAAATTGCTCTTAAAATGACCTATTTCCTAAACAACGTATTAATAGTAACTGCAAACTAGAGCCAACAAATAGATGCAACTCCTACACCATAAATCCGGTATCTATTTTGTATGTGGAGTGATGGATTCTATTTGCTTGGCTTGGCTTGAAAATAATTTTTCAAAATCCTTTATGTTTTACTTATCTCATTATAAGAATCTATTAAAAATCAATAAATAACATTCTGATGGAAGAGATTTGTTGCTGCCGTCCTTTACACAATATACTCTTTTCTTTGTACTGTTTGATTCATTTATAATTTAAAATATGGGTTTCAAGGCATCTATTTTCTAAAATTTGTCTTAAGATGCTTTCATTTTTATAAATGAGGTAATGCTCAATAATGGTTTCAATTATTTGGATTTATAGATAAATTTACCTTATCCTCTATTGGAACTTTTAGTTTCTTTCTTTCTTTTTTTTTTAACTAGATGAGTTAGTTTTATTAGTCAGCTCCAATTTTTAACAATATACTACTTCTTTCCATGATATAATTCTTGGACTAAAAGTTGGGAGGCTTTTCCTCCAGCAGTATAAGTATTTGGTGTTTGCTGACTCTATTTTATAATACTTTGAAGAAATTAGCACATAATTCTATTATATATAAATGTGAATTATATTATGTTCACTTATTATTGTTGAAGCAGCTTTTCCTCAAAAATGTAGAAATACCACTGCAGTGTTTTTATGTATGCATGTAATCATTTGTTTTTAAAATTTTTGTGTAGAAGAGCTAGAGTAAAGGCCAGAAGTGCAATGGTGGGGGGTGGGGAGATGATTCACCAGAGATAGAATGAAGATCAGAACAGGTTGATCAAAATACACTGCTGAGGGGAGCAGAGGTCTGCTGCACCATGTGGGTCACCTCCCTAGCCTGGAAGCAAACTCAGGTCACAGCAGTGATAGTGCTGAGACTTAACTCCTATGCTACCATAGAGACCTTGTTTTTAAATATTCATCACAAAATGAGTAAAATATAACACTGGTCTAATTTCTAATAACTTTGTACAGTGATTATATTTATCTTGCTTAGGAATTTGCCCAAAACTTTTCCTTTTGAGCTCTAAAACTTAAATAGGAAATTTTATAGCTCTGATTCCTGCTAATACATTTCTTACAGAAACCAACAGGACTGAGGTTTTAGGTCTCTTTAATCAGATCCAGAATATATATAATTTTCCCCCCATTTTACCTTTTACAGTTAGTTGTGATTAATTATTTTCCTTTTGGAAGTCTATTATTTTAAAGTAATCATGTGTTAATGTTTTTCTTTCATGCCCATGACAGACTCTCATGTTTCCACAACTTATCTATTAATTTTGCATTTTTCACTAGGCTTTTGTGCAACAACTTTTGTGGAAAATGTGGGTATTTTTAGTGCCAGAGACTTTGAGTAGGTAGGCTATTGGCCAAGACATGTGCCATGCAAATTGTTAGCAAAGGCCTCTAGTCAACTCAGAAGGAACAATCCAATTGTGGTAGAATTTCAGCAGAAAATTGCTCTGCCAAAGGTTGTCATGGTTTTCCAGATTTCTTGAGGGAAACTGACTTGTTATATCCCTCTTGACATATTTGGACCTAAAGAAAACCACTATGTTATCTGACAACAACTTGAATAAATTAAATATTATATTGCAAAGAAAGCAGCAAGATCTACATTTTTTTTGGTAGATTATTGAATGCAAGGAATTATCTTATACCCTCTATTAAGGAATGTAAAGACACAGATATATGGTTACAGACTTAGATAGTTATGATGAGCAGGCAGGCTACAATTTTTTCCCACTGCTTATATATTAAATGTTATAAAAAGGCTAGGGTCAGAAGGTTGTACATGTCAGTGAAAGCATTAAATTCCTTCATCCTTCATGATAGCAGAGATTTTATGATGGCTGTCTCTAAGAATTTAATGATGTTAATTTTTAAGTTGGATGTTTTTGGCATTCAAAAGGCTCAGTTGTCTGTCTCCCTGATCTCTAAAAGTACTTTTGGCAAAGGGAACATGATAGTCTTCGTTATATTTCCAAGAACCCCACTTTTCATGTTTAAAATGGCATTTTCCAGTGAACAAAATTCATGATTCCTCAGACACAGAGATTCATGTAGATGTGCTGACAAATATGAATTGCTGTTCTGAGTAAATTTAGGTAGTGGTTAAACTGATACTAAGGAAGGAGGAAAATCGTTAAGATGAAGGACAATGGATGTATTAAAGTAAAGAGCTTCAATCATATTTAGATCTTGAAATTCTATATGTCTTTATTGTTTTGCTCCAAAAGTTGCAGCACAGCATATTATATGAGGACACTTACCTGGAATCCCCAAGTGATAGCCAGTAGTGAAATTTGCTTTAAATCCCCCCATTGCCCCATTATCGTCAGAGATGAAAATCACAGACATTCTGTTAGTGGTTGAGAACACATCCTCTACTGGACCAGACCCTGTGTATACAGCTGCCCCAAAGGAAAATGAATAAAATCAGAAGATGATCCTTTTAATATAGAAGGAAATATCACCCATTTTATAGTTCTGTCACCTGCAAGTTGGTTTGCTCATGAAGTAGCTATGTACAAATAAATATGGACATTCATTTAGATTTTAGACACGACTCTTAGGAAAGCCAATTACTTTGTTGAGCTTTTTCAGCATTATATGAGGTTCCTGGAGCCAATTTAATGATGTTGTACCCATTGTCTGACTTAGTACCACTATTATTCAAATCATGATTCACCCAAATAGTGATTTTTATAAAACATAGTTAAATTGGACAAACTTATTTCTTATTTTTGTGTGTGAGTTGAATCATTAAACCTATAAGCTAATAATTTGAAGTATGAAGAAATGAGATATATAGGTAGTATAAGCCTGAATGATGTTTTTCAAATGGGGACTTCATAAACAATGAAATATTATTCATTAAATGCTAAAGGCTTGAGCTAGTTAAAAAAATAATAATAAACATCCATCTTAGTAAGTATTTTATATTGGAATCTCCAAAACTGATTCTGTTTGAAGAGAACATCTTGTCTACAAACTTGAAAACCATGACTATGAGATCCTTTTAGAGTTATTATTTATGTGTCTATAACATACAAATATTAAGAGGGTACATGGTAAAAACGAGTTAGTCTTAGGTAATGAGAAAATTGAAGTTTTTATTCGAGAGCCAATGTAATTTGAAAGTGGCAAAGTGACTCAAAATGTGTCTGTAACTGTACAGATGAAACCCAAGTTTGAAATCCTTAGCTCTTGCTGGTACTAGCCTCCAAAAATTTCTTCAAGCCTTTCATTGTTTATTTGTTCTGAGTGTGAATCTCAAACCCCTTCCCAGAAATCTTGCATTCTAGATATTTGTGAGATGTTACAGAAGAAGCCAATATCAGGAGTGATGGGTTCCTGAGGCTTGGAAACTCCCCATCTTTGCTCCCTCATTTTGATAGCAAGAGCCCTGTGGGCTTTTCCTGCTCTGGTTGCAGCAACCATGTGACTTCAACCTGTGTGTATAGGAGTCCAAAGCACAGGTAAATAAAACAGTTTTACTTGTAAAGTCTGTTATTTCATGCATTCCTGTTGACCCCTTAGTCTTCATTATTTAATTTTCAATAAGTGAAAGTAAAAAAATCAACTTCGGTTACGTTAAGCATCGTTTTCGGAAACTTTTATAAGAAACTAGTACCTGAGACACAGACAATCAGAGAAATAATGAAATGTAAGTTCAAATAATTTAGAAATGTTCATATCAAACTATTTTGTATGAATACAATTACTATGAAGTGAAATAAAACTTGATATAGTAGTTATATTTAGTCATCTGATGCACTCATCATATTTGGAAAATTGCATAATGGGTGTCGACATTATTTCTTGTTGTCTAAGAATGATCAAGAAGAATATAATTCTGTCATTATTGAAAGCCCTTCCTTCTTCATATTGAAACTTCCTATAGAACTCAAGAAGTTATTTTATTCCTATTTTCATTTTTCTAGTTGTAAAGGTGATTACAGTTATGGAAAAGTGCTTTTCCCATCATGTAGCCTTGAGTCATGCAAACTTCACAGTATTTCAATTGTAGACTTACCTAAGAGAAGGGAATCACCTTCACCATCTCTGATTTCAACTACATCATAAATACTTTCTAAATCAAATTCTTGAAAATGAAGTTGGATATTCTTTCCCTTTTGTGCATTTAAATTCCAAATACCTTAAAAGTAATAAATGACAGTACATAGATTAGAAAATACTTCTTTTGATTTCTCTTAAAATTCTCGCTCTCTTGAGAATTTCAAATCATCTTAAAATATTTTTTACATTTCATAAAAATCAATAATCCTTTTTGTTTGTTTATGTTTATAGGAGGGAATATATTGGTCTCATTAAGATTGCAGTAAAGTTTCAATTAAATTTGCAATTGAATTAGTTTCATTTTATATAAAGTGGAATGTTTTAATCAAACCTTGCAAATAGCCTTTTACTCTTACCATGTAAAATTTATAAAATGTCAAAAGGTTATTAATAGTCTATTTCCATTTATTTTATTTTCCATGAATAAATCTAGAGGAAAATGAGGTGATTAAAATGCAATTTGTAAGGCAAATAAACTTTAATATTTTAAAGTGACTTTTTTTATTAATATGTAGTATGCTGGTAATTAATTCTGGAAAAAAAAAACACAAAACCCCAGCTTTAATATCATAGTACCCTCTTTGTTCTTTATTGATTTATTAAACAACTTAATTGTTAGAATCTATCTAGGCCCTTTCCTCATTCTGTAAAATAGTTCTCATTCTTTCTTAAGGAAAAAAATCTCCTCAACGTAGTACTTAATGACTTTCAAGTCTTTATTTCCTGCACTTTTTTTGAGAAGTAGATAAATGTATCCAATTATAGATGTATGCATTTCAAACCTAACATAATAAAAAAACACAGTGAACTAACTCTCCCAAATTCATTCTTCTCATTCTTCCTATCTCAGTGATAATGCCACCAGTGACTCACCCACAGCTGTCTGCACCAGAAATCACACCTTTCCTGACCCTCTCCTCCCATAGTCTATCAATAGCCACAGCGGTCAATGCTGCCTCATGTAGCCCTCAAATCCCATTGACTTTTCCACTCTATTGCCACCAGAGGAGTAAAGTTAGCTTATCATTTCCAAATTGGTGATGCTGATAACTGCTTCCTCATCTAGTTCTGCCAAAATGGGTCCATCTAAAATATGCTTGATTTTATCACCACTTTACTGAAGTTTCCTCGGTGTTCTCAGAAAAAATGCAAATGGTTTAACAAGGCATGAACTTCCTTCATGCTTTCAATATTTTTATTACTGTTACTTTATTTTGCTTAGAGATTCAAGAAAAGGTCAAAATATCCTGTCTTTGAGCTTTCATGTTAAGTACCACTTCTACCCTGCCTTAGCATCTTGCCTTGATCCCTTCCACAGTACCTTGGACTTCTGTGAGGTCTGACAACTCATCTGAATCCCCACCTAGACAGTGTTTCTTCTTTTTTCTGTGTGTGATCAATAAACATTTGTTGAATAAATCAATGAATTTAATAAATGTCTCTAAATTGTTCTTGTCATGTTCCATTGCTTCCTGCAGTTTTTAGACCATTACTTTGTACAAATGATATGTTTAAAAAATGTTTTCAACAGAAAGTAGAGATAATAGCCTCTAGTTCTCCATATGAGTCAAATTGAATTTATTGCTGTTGATTTTTTTGGATCAGAGATCTTCTTATAATAGTGACTTTATTTTCCTGTGAAATTGATACTTGTCTCTGGATCACTTAAAGGAAGGAAAGTTAACGTTTTCAGACAATTCATTTTTCACTGTCTTTAGTGTATTTCTTTCCCGGTAGAATTCTCCATTTAGACAGTGGAGCTAAGTAGATATGGCCATGGGCATACGTCTGCTCCCCAAAGTACTAACATGGGATGGGGTCTTTGAAGGATGAATAGAGGAATGGACAGTTTGACATATTCTCCCTGCAGTTCTTTTCATCTTCTCTAGTTAGGAATGTTCACTAGAGATAAGTCTCATACAGTTCTAATAAACCATATTTCTCTTAAACTTGGATTTTTCATTGATTTAGTGATTCATGATTTCACATTTTAAATTGGGAATCTGATCACATCAATCTAGCTGACTGTTTTCCTGACTCTAGTCTATATTTACTATATGTGTAGATGTCACAGTTGGTGCCTGGCTTTTTATAAGTTGTATTTTAGTCTATAAAATTGCAAACTTGTTATATACATTATTAGTATTCTATGTGTAATCAAGGAAAGTAATTAAGAGCAGTATCTGGAGTAAGGTTGTCTTATTCACTTAGCATTTTCATTCAATTCCTTTTTAATTTCAGACTTATAATATAGCATATGCTTCAAAGAAAGATTGTGAGACTTGGTTAGGATAGTGTAAATTAAGATCTGGCACAATATCTTGCATGAAATAAATGCTCAAAAAAAGTTAGTCATTCTAATTGTTACTTCTGTTGTTTTCGTTATAATAAGCAATCTCATAGATGTGATAGTATACCCACATTTGACAAATTTACTTTGCTGTATCTAGTCTTGACATATATGTACATAGTATATGTATATGCATATACACATACATGTATATACACACATGCGTACATCTATGTGTCTATATACATTACATACATATATACACATATATGTTTCTTATAGTCATGACTAGAAAAAGGAAATGACTCACAGAAAGCCTTATTTGGGTAGCTGTTAGGAAAGTTCATAGATGTGAAAGTTGAATTTGTTTCCCACAGTTCAAAAGGCCCTCCACAGTCCGCTGAAAAGGAAAGCAATTAAAAAATCATTAGTAAGTTAATATTTATATCAGAAGGATGATATGCCAGCAAATTTCCAGGCACATTTCTTGGAGTAATAGTTTTTACAGATAGATTTTAGAGGTTTTCATAAGGGAAAACTTGGCAACATAAGAAAGGAAAACAAAAAGCCCTCTTTTCTGAAGGACTCAAAACCTTAAGTAACCTAATGTTCCCTGAGAATCTCCAAGAAGTCATAATAATATGCAGCACTTCCCAAATTTCCTTGGCAAGGAAACAGCTTTCCTGGATGTTTTTCTAAAATTTATTTATTTATGCATACAAGAACTGGGGTGCAGGCTAAACCCAGACACAGAGTGGGGACCAAAATACACTGCTGAGGGGAGCAGCAGGGAGCAGGAGAGGTCTGCTGAACCATGTGGGTTACCTCCATGGCGGGGATGGAACTCATGCTGCAGTGGCTGTGGTTACGCTTCCTAGTGCTGCACTTTAACCCATTGTGCCACCAGGGGGCGTCTTTCCTGGATATCTTTTACAAATAGACTTCATGAGATAAAGGTATCAACTCCTATTATAGAAAAAAAAATCCTATTGTCGAGAACAAGTCTTCTATCTGCCATGACGTTATATGAAGAGTTAATCATTGAAAATCCAGCACTTACTATTTTCATTTTACTCTATTTTCTTTCTTTCTGTAGTGGAGATGTAGCATGTGCTTCTGTTGAGAGGAGTCAAAGACTCATGACATGTAACTCTGGATCTCAGTCATGCTCTGTTGTAGACAAACCACCCTCACTCACAGAGCAAGAATCCAATAGCTTGCCTGGATGGGGACCTCTATCCACTAACAGTTGTTCAAATCTTTCATTTTCTTTTTCTTTGCAATGTTCTTTCAAGTTTAATATATTACTGATCTATTCAAATATGTCCATTAATTACAAAAGAGGGAGACAGGTACGGTTTATTTTCACATGAAGAACCAAAGTTGGTTGTTTAGCCCTAAATATAATGTCATGTCTATGACACTTACCACATTAACGTTTATTTTATGGTTTTAAAATGAAAAATGACCTAAGTAGTGACTAACAAGAGCAAACGTGTGGCAGTACAGAGTGATTATTGGGCCCTCCCTGGGAGCACAATGAGCTCAAAAACAGCACTGTGAGCTATCTGCATCCACTACAGCATGAGTTTGATCCCCGGCCATGGGGCTGACCCACACGGCATTTCAGTCAGTCTGCCTGTTCTGCTCCCCACTCTGTGTCTGGTGACTCCTCTCCCCACACACCTGTGCTCTCATTCTTGTATGCATAAATAAATACATCTTTTAAAAAGTGCTCTATAAAAGCTGGGGGAAAAAATAATGCTATTAGCTAGCCAGTCATTGTTCCTTTTGTTTTTGCTTAAACAAATCAGTGATCTGGAACCAGAAAAGTTCTGTTCAAATAAGAATTTCACTGAACCAGTCACAAATGGCATTAGGAGGAGATTGTTCAGAATGCACTTGATGGTAATTAACATTTTCTGCTGTGCTAAATATTGTTCCACTTGGAAACTGGAACAAATATCTCTGGGGAAAATCTAAAGCTTGTATTTTCAAATCAGATGGTTAATCTATCATTACAGTTTCTTTTTTGTTATAATGTGCAGCGCTATCATGCTTCCCTGTTACTGAGGTATAACTTACTACTTGCCTTAATTTTGTGGTCAGTGTTATGTGAGAACGTATGGTACTTTTCTGCTTTTGTTTCAATTTTATGAAAGTCACTCCATTTGATGAAATGTTAACGTTTTCTTAAATCGTTCTACAATTTACTCTCTTCTTTAAAGTTCCTGTCCCTTATTTTTCTTATTTGCTACTTACAGGATAAATAATTATGTCTTTTAAGAACCAGTATGACAATGTAACTGCTCTCTTCATGTTCATGGCAGCTCATCTGTTATGATCTCAAACACTAGTCTTTATCTTTAGAACTTCAGAGTTATTAAAGTCACTCTCTGACTAGTTTTTTTTTTTTTTTAAACTTAAAGATTGAAACCTGGAAAACATAGTTTGGGAGTGAAAGCCAAATTTGGTTACATTCACCAAAATGATTTGCTGATGTGACTATGGGAAGTGTTTCAAGTCTGCATGAAAGGAACAGAAAAGAAAAAGTACTGTGATTGTGGTTTCATGTCTACAACAGACACAAACTTCTGTGAGCTTCAACACAAGCAATGGTGTGGAGTCAAATGAGCTCCCGACCACAGCCCAGGCACAAGAGGGATGTTCTTACATCAAAACTGCAATGGAGGGACAACATAGTCCTGATATGATTTATCATTATACATTCATATATATATATATATATATATGTACATGTATATATACATTCCTTGCAGTCTACAAGCAGTATGAAATGATTGTCTCCCTTGACATGATAAGATGGATAGTAATTTCTCTTTTGCCCCTGAAAGGCTGAGTTTCCAATTTGAATTAAGAACACAGGTAGTTAGAGACTCCATTTTGTTCTTTTGAGCTAAAGACCCCAAAGGACACCAGAAATCCTGATGAATGCAACATATGAATGGCTCTCTGATGGAGTACATTGCAAGCTTTACAAAGGCACCATGGGTCCTCCTTGTGGCACAAGGGGTTAAAGCACAGCACTAAGCAGCGATCACAGACACTGCAGCACTGGAGTTCGATCCCCCACCAGGGAACTGACCCACGTGGTGCAGCGGACCTCTCCTGTCTTGCCTCTGCTCCCCTCAGCAGTGTATCTCAGCAAATCTACCTTTTCTGCTCCCCACTCTGTGTCTGATGAATCTTCTCATTCTTCTCCCCTGCACCTCTGGCCTGTACCCCAGTTCTGTTTGCATAAATAAATAATCAATAGACTTTCATATAAAAAAGAAAAACAAAGGCACCACAGCAGGAAAAACATCTTCTGTCTGATCTATGTCTTTGCATATTCAAAGGCTAAGCCCAATCATTATCCTTAAAGTATTCTGAAAATATGCTTGGTGGGTTTGAAGTTTAACCAAACTCCTTTCGAGATTTTTTTTTTTAAATTTTAAAAAAGATTTATTTATTTATTCATACAGAACTGGGGTACAAGCCAGGGGTGCAGGGGTGGTGAGAGGATTCACCAGAGACAGAGTGGGGAGCAGAACAGGCAGATTGACGAAGTACACTGCTGAGGGGAGCAGCGGGCGGGTCAGGCGAGGTCTATTGTGCCATGTGGTCACTTCCTGGGCAGGGATCGAACTTGCACTGAAGCGGTTACTGCCAGCTTGCAGTGCTGTGTCCTAACCCATTGCACCACCAGGGAAGACCCCTTTAGAGATTTTTACATCAGTTATTTTACATCACCATGAGAATCTTAAAGCCCACATCACATGGTCAATCACTTGGTCAATACAACATTAGTTTCTACTTTAGGGAAAACTGTATGAAAAATACCACCTTTATCATTTTTAAAATGAAAATGTTTCAAAATTATCATAAATATGATGCATAACAAAATACTGAGTGATTTCATTGTGGTTTTATGTAAAATGGAAACTATTCAGTTAGTTTCCATTTTACCTATATTTTAGTCTTTGATTTTCTACAAATAAAAATATTAGACTGAGATAATAAAAGATAATATTAATGACTTAATTAGGGCAAAGGAACATTAAAAATACTTACTAGGAAGTTCTGGTGGAGGAGTTGGGACCAACGTTGGTTCTGGATAGGGACTTTTGTTGCAAACCCCATGTGTTAGGCTAATGTCATCCAGTCCTATGTCCCTCCATAACTCATTTTTATAAGCATTAAAAGCAACCTGTATTTCAGAGAGGGAGATAAAATAATTCCACTCTAATCTCTGATTTGCTTTTTCTTATGGCCCAACATTCTCTAGCAAGCCAATGCTGCCATCTTCAAATGTATGTGAGAATTAAGTTACTGCATAGTGAATATAGTGAATGGCTCTGGGGCATGTTTTTTTTGATTTTCCCCCTGATGTGTCACAAGATATCGTGATGCCCTGGATCGTGTTTTTAAAGAGACAAACAAACCAACAAAAAAGTAAATAAAATGAAGAATAATATAAATATATATCTAATATAAATAAATATAAAAAAAGAGAAATGAAAAAATGATGTCATGCAACATGAAAGGTTAATAACTAACTAAAAAGACAAAAGAAAACATTAATTTATTTGGAAAAAAAATACTTCTGCTGAGGGCACCTCCCTTGTTTTTTGTTCACATGTTTTTGCCTTAAATTTCACCAGCCCCTAGCTTGTCCTTATTGTCACAGCTGCTTCCTGTCCTTTCTCTCTCTCTCACGATGCTGTCACCCTTCATAGTGCTGTGTCATGTATGTACATTATCGTGCAGGGGAGCAAACCCTTCTTCCAATTTCTTTCCCCAACAATAAGAAATCCTGATAGCTGTCTGCTTTCTTAGAGCACACAGCCCTGAAGACATACTTTTTAGGTAATTTAAATAGGAGTGAAAAGATAAGAGAAGATATGAGTGTATTATGATTATTCAGGGTCAGCTGACATAGACTCAGACCCACATGGGAGAAAGATGCAGTGGTTACATGAAATATGTTAGGTTCTTAGGGTTATCAGGTATTTTTTGCTAGACTTCCGTTGATCTTCTCTTGTGCCAAAGAAAGAAATAAGCTAAATGACTCTTCTTTGCTAATTGCTATGTATACATTAGCTCATTAATTTTTTAACATTATTGCACATTCATCCATCTGTACATTCATATGTTCCTCCAAAATACCCATATCATGCGAGACACTATTACAGAAGTTTGCTTTCCTCCCCTTCACCTATATGCAAGCTGGGTTTCAGAGACTAATGTGACTTATTCAGGATTTCACAACAAAGTGGCAAGTCAACATAAAAATTCTTACAGAACTTGATGTTCTCACTTTGTCTAATGAGCTGACATTGAGAAGATGGATGCAGTTATATGACTTTTAGAAAAATGATGGGCCCAGAACTGACTATTGCGATATTCCTTTCTCTATGTCCCCTTGATGTCGCACCATTGTTAGAAAACAAAGGTAGAGCAGGAAACTTCCCAGAAAAGGACAGAGTAAGAATAAATGAAAGGGAAAGGATAGAAAGAAACATAAAAATACAGGTGCGGGTTGTCGATTAGGGCCTACTTTTTATCAAGCCACAGTAAAGAACTAAAGTCTTTACTGCTGACAATGTTTGTCCAAATATACATCTTCCAGAAGTTACACTCTTTTGTCTGAAAGTACTCAATTAAAACATTGTTAATTTGGTCAAACTATTAGCCTATATTATCCTATATTTTAATTGCAAACACCCTGAGGAAGAGAACACATTAAGCTGAAAAATTAATTCACCCTAATGTGAAATAAATGGCCAGAGACTCCCAATGATACAGCTCATAGAATTTGTTTCTAAAGGAAATGTATAGAGATTAAGTGAACATGGGGGAGGGTGAGTGGATACCCATGGATGGGGAGGTTCTAAAAAAATGATCATTCCCTAGAGAAAAGTACAAGACTGATGTAGGTATTTTTGTGAAAAGTTGGAATCCCTAGGTAGGCAAGGAACATAGGAGACATGGTTTATATTAGAAAGTTGTTTTAAAAATGCTGATATATTCCATAAGGTCTTTATGCATTGTATCACTCACTCTAAGTAGTATTTTCTTATACTAAATATCATGTATCTGTAAGTAGTTTTAAATATGTCAATAAATAAATGAAAATAAAGAAAGACTTAAAAAAGAGAGAGAGAGAGATAAGGAAGGCAGATAAGATCACTAGACTATTTTCAGAAAATGATTTTCCCCCATATACCATAAGCTATAATTGTATCACCATTTTTAGAATACAAATACAAATACATGATTATAAATCTAAAATTATTTCCAACCTTAAATTCCGCTGTCTCATTTAATGTTACTTGTCCATAATTCCAATTTTGTCCATAATTTCCTTCCTTCTGAAAAATTGTCTTCTCCTTGTTTTGCTTACTGCTGATATTAACGCTTAATTTATAGACATTTTCACCACACATGTAATACCTATTTGGAAATAAGTAAAAATTGTTGTATTCCTATATTAGAATAAGTGCATTTGAGGGTTCTTCTAAAACCCTTAGCGTTCTCTTTTCCCTTGGATGAATGAATTGGCAGAGAAGGGGAGTGATTCTTTCAGCATCTTGATACATTATTAGTTGTGGAAAAGGCAATGTATAAACACTTAGGACAACATCTTAGTAAGAGTGGAAACTAGCAAATGTTATTCATTAAATAAGATAGTATGCGACTTGTGTACAACATACCAGAAACTAAGGCACACTGGTTCCAAACTGGGGTTTAAAGGGAGACTTAAAAGGCTGACTCTTTCTTTTCTCCCTGGTCCAAATGGTGTAGAAATATAATATCCTGTGAAAACAATGAAAAAGATTTCATTTTGTTTAAATATTAGCATTTTCAATATAACACTCAAAAGCCAAAAGGAAAACTTTTAAGCTGAAAATGAAACTTTCTGATGAATTTCACACAACAAATTATCATTTACAAAGATCATTTCTCAATTTGAGGTCTCCAATTTGTAAAAAAAAAAAAAGTTCTGAATTGGAGTCCTGCTGAATATATCTCAAGCTCTGACTTGCTAAGATACCAGTGACTGATCATATTATCATGTCCAAATCCCATTTTAATTCCAGTGTGTTAAATATTTCATTCACTTCTTGAAAGACACTTGACCATGGTGGGGGGGGATTTAGATGGATGGGTGGACTAGCTCATGAGTGAGCCAAATATTTAAAACAAATTTGAAGAGTTTCAATTGTCACCAGTTTTATATCCCATTGACCAGTCTGCATTTTTCTAAATTTAAAGTTAGCTGATTTTAATGATTTCCTTTTACAGCTTCCTTTGAATGAAAACAAATTAGATCACTAAAGAGCACTAAACCTGTTAATCCTCATAAAGGCTTTCTGTGTAGCCCAAGTCATTGCATAATGTGCTTTCTGGCATGGAATTCATTATTCCACCCAATGATTTGAGTAATTTGAAGTATGGAAAGAATTGTTGGGGTGAGAACATCTTAGGTGTTTTTGTAGGGGAATTTAATTTTTTATTCTTAATTTGTTGTCATTATGATAAAAAGCAGGACTCATAAAACAAAACATGATATCAGACAAATGGATAATCTGATTTTATTGAAATGTAACTTTTTAAATAAATTTTTGAAATTTAGTGTTCACTTGAAATTAAACATGTCTTGTGGTTTGCAATAGAAATTTTATAGGCAATGCAGTGTGTGAAATTTAAGCTCATTCATATGTAACATGGAGAGTAAGAACAAGATATGAAAAAAAGAAAAAAGTACAAATTCAGCCTGATCATTAAGGCTTTGGCTCTATGACTTCAGTACTATTTTGTAGCATAGTTATTATAATTTGCTTGTTTTGAATTCTATAGAATTACTTTAATTTCTCCAGTGGCTAGATATTTTATGATTTGGGGGATCACTTTTTTTTTTCTATTTTCCTATTCTTCCACACCCCTTACAATTGTACCTTCCAAATCCTACTAATTTTTTATGTCATTTTGATCAAAATGCCATACTCTCAGGACTCTTGTTTTTCGCAATTAGATGCAACCATTTCTGTTGAATTCTCAGTTGTCTATGTACTGCTCTGATTTAACTTAGTATATTCAGTTGCATATTTATGTAATTGTCTAACTTTTTAAGCTTACTACAGTGCAGGAGAAACTGACTTAATTCATTTTTGAATTCTCTATATGATTAACAAAATGTTCTTTAATTCTTGTTATACTAATTGGATTTGCTTTTCATTATTAAACTTATTAAAGTACTATACAAAAGGAATGATTGAATAGATATTTTCCATAACTACATGGGAATTTCCTATGGTCAGATAATAATTTTTTAAATCTTCCAACTGAAATATCTTTGAGGGCTTTTGAAATTGACCTCAGAATTTGTTTAAAACCCAGAAAATTGAGTACATTTTGTTAATTAAATACATAGTGAACCTCTTTTGTAAACCATAGATTTTTCTTACAACTTTCTCCTATCACTTTTCTTCCTTATTTCTCCATGAATCTAACCTAATATCTCCCCGCCAACCCACCACCCCAATTAATGAGAGAAAATTCTGGAAATATGCTGATGCTGATATAATGGTAACTGGACTGATAGTGGAACTTTCTGTAAAATTTGGATTTCCTCTCAAGAGAAAAATAAGCTGATATAAACAATTTTGTGAGTTGCAAATGCATGTTCAAATCAATTAAAGTTGGATAAATATTGAAAGTTTCAAATGGAGAATGGCGTAGATTGAGTCAGAGTCTATGAATATTTCTTCCTCAAATACATCCCAGGAAATATAAGAAAAAAATATTCTTTTGAAAACATTGAAGTTATGCTTAATTTAGAAAAAATTTATGTGCTAAATGAAAAGAGGACTATCTAAAAGACGTAATACACTTTTAAAAATTGAGTAATATTGGGTGGCCCTCCCTGGTGGCTCAGCGGGTTAAAGCACAGCACTAAGAAGCTAAAGCCACTTCCGCATGAGTTCGATTCCCGCCTGCCCCGGAGGTGACCACATGGCGTGGCAGACCTCTCCTGACCCGTCCGCTGCTCCCCTCAGCAGTGTACTTCGTGGATCTGCCTGTTCTGCTCCCCACTCTGTCTCTGGTGAAGCCTCTCGCCACCCCTGAGCCTCTGGCCTGTACCCCAGTTCTGTATGTACAAATAAATAAATCTTTAAAAAAAATGAGTAATATTGGGCACAGTGGGTTAAAACACAGCACTGAGAAGTTAAAGTCAGTTAAAGTCACTTCAGCATGAGTTCAATCCCTGGCCCTGGAGGTGAATCACGTGGTACGGCAGACCTCTCCTGACCCACCCGCTGCTCCCCTCAGCAGTGTATGTCACTGATCTGCATGTTCTGCTCCCCACTCTGTATCTAGTGAAGCCTTTCACCACCCCTGCAGGTCAGAGGGCCTGTACCCCATTTCTGTATGAATAAATAAATAAATCTTTTTTAAAAATCGAGTAATATCACCATTTTCTTCTCTAGCATATTACTTAGAATAATCATCACTCAGATGATTTCCCCCTTTGAAGTACTTTCAGGGTATGAAAATAAAGTACTTGTAATACCTAACAGTTATATAGCAGTTTTCATATGCCAAGCAAATATAGTACTCAATTTCATTTTCTTTCTCTAAAATCAGCTTCTTTTATCATCTCATTTCCAGATGAGGGAATTGAGGCAGGGTGAGGATAGATAACTTGCTTGGTGGCAGAGCTGAGATTTAAACCTAGCTAACATTTCAGGGTCTCTATTTTAATGATCGTTGCTGCTCCATTATGCTAACCCCCTCACATTAGAAATCATTATGATCTCATTGTCCAACAAAGAAGCAATTTCCCTGGTCCGTCTAACCCTTTTATGACCCCAACATTTTTTGACTTTTCATGTTACCTCAGATTCCCTGAATGTTTTGAATGAACGGACTCCTTAGCTTCCACCCCCAAAGACCCATCAGAGCCCCATTGCCACCAGTTCCCTTGCTTCTAACAGGTACAGAGAACTCTGAGCATTGCTTGGTGCAGAGATTTAAGATCTGGTGCCCCACCAGGAGAGAGTTCTTCAGAAGAACTCAAAAAAGTTAAGGGGCTTAGATGTTCTTCCCTAAAGCAATGTTAATTCAAAGTTTATCTGTTTGATTTAGACTTTCCTGTCATTTAAAGTGAAGGTGAAGAACAAAAAACCCTGCTTAGAAAAGAGGAACAGCAGGAGGGATTCAATTCTCTTCCATTTCAGAGGTAGGATGTTCTGACACATGAAAAAGCGGGTTGGAAGAAAAATGCCCCTGAAGGGGAGGATGACTGGTAGATTATGAAATTACCAGTATGAGTGTAGGAGAGTTCCTATTAAGCCTTATCATCCATTCTCATTACCCTGCTGCTTCTGGTGGGTTCTAAACTGCTCTGATTTGTCTCATTTTAAATAACTCCTGTTATACAGCTTTCTCCTGAGACTCTATTTCCAACCCAACTATTTAAAACTTTCACCTGACATTCAACCTGCTACACTTTGGTCAGTGTTATCTTATTTCTTTAGTTATTTAAGCTGTTGGTGAGCAGAAGCAGTTTTTCCTCCTATAATGTAGTACTTATATTCTTCAGATATCAGCAGAATCATTCTACCTCTTGTGATGATGACATAAAAGTAGAAAAATGATAATTTGAACATCAAAGATTTCAACTACATAAAAGGTATCTGTCATAGTCAATACATATAAATGCTTTCTGCACTTTTCTCTAGTTACCTTTGTCCAAGTGTGGTAAAGACCTTTTTTTTCTTTATTATAGTGAGGGGGGCAAAAGTGGTCAAATTATTTGACTGTTTTAGAACAAACTATTTTAGAGAATGGGGGTAATTGTCACTTAGAGGTTAGACTTCAGATTACTCATTTATCTGCAGAAGATCAAGCTCTGAGAAACCCCTGGTTCAAAGGATTAATCATGTATGAAGCTATGAGTGTCATGATTTTCAGTACCAAAAGTGTGTGGTCTGATGGGATTGGCCGTCGACGCAGAGTACTTTTTTTTTTTTTTTGTCAGTGCACACTGATAACTAATTTAGCAGGATCCTCTTTGAATTAACTATCAAATTATATGTAGCACCTGATGTCTAATTAATTTGCTCCCACCTATTTGAGAACCTAATGGCTATTTCTCTAGATTAGTCACTTGTTCTTTCACAAACCATTTTAGTATTCATGAAAATTCTATGATTGCTATGCTCAAGAATCACAATAGTGCCTCGTTTCACTGAGAGAAAAAGCCAAAGCCTGAGAAGAACCATGATTATCTGGACCTTAATGGCCCTATTTTCTCCACACTGGCTTCCTGATATTTCTTAAAACGGGTCAGCCACTTATATCCCTTGAGAGACTTCCTCTGTTGTTCTCTTGGTCTGAAATAATCCGTATGTCTAGTTGCTTCAGTTCCTTTAAGTTTTGATTCAATGCCACTTTTTTAATGAGATTAGAAGTGATCACCCTCTTTTAATGTACAACACCTCCTCCATAGCTGCACTTGCCAATCACTTTATCAAGGTTTGTATTTCTTGAGTACTCATTCACATTTAACATACCCCTAAATTGCAACCACTATTCCGTTATATTTTTTATTTCCCTTACTGGCATATGCATTCCAGGAGAATAGGAAATCTGAATAATTTTTGTTCACAAGTATATTCTGAGTGCCTTGAATAGAGCCTGGGCTCAAAAAAAAAAAAAAACACTTATTGAATAAAGGAGTCAAAAAATAAATTGACTTGTGGAAATTGATTAAAAGTAATCACTGAAAACTAAATATTTTGATCAAATTGAAATACTTTGAGAAACCATATTTTGTTTTCAGATTTTCATGGGTAATCTTCACACTATGAGTTGTCTCTTTATGATTCTTTATGATTTCTGGTCTTCTTTGTCAAATATTATTATCTCCAATGTTAATTTTTCCATGAAATTCAGTTCTCAGTCCATTCACATGAAAGTGTCCTATAAGTCCCAACCTTAGGACCATGCTTTAGTATCAGCTTTTCCATTGTCTTTCTGTTAATGAGCTGGATGGTTATGTCCTCTTAAAAGTCTTATGTTGAGACTGTAGCCCCAAATGTGATCACATTTGGATATGGAACTTTTGAGAAGTAATTAGAACACAAAGGTAGACCCCTTATGATACAATCAGTGACTTCAGAAGGAGAAACAAAATCTCCCCCCTTTCCTCCTATTGAGGACGTGGTGAGAAGATATGTATATGTAAACCAGGCAAAAGGTTGTCATTAGAACTTTCTGGTGCCACAGATCTCAGACTTACAGTGTCCAGAGCTATGAAAAATAAATATTTAAATCACCCAGACTGTGGTATTCAACTATAGCAGCCCAAATAGACTAAGACAGCTTTTCAGAATTAAACCTATCTCTCTATCTCTACTTCAAGATGACAGGATCATGTATATTGAAAATACTAAAGAGCTGTTTAAAAACTTTGAGCATTGATTAAAAAGTTCAACAAGGTTTCAGGATATAAAACCAATATGCAATGATCAAATGTGTTTCTATATACAGCATTAAACAATCAGAAATGAAATTAAAGCAAAGTAGATCAAAGTTTAGAAAAGTAAATTATAACTATGCAGACAGAAGTCTACTTAGTTAATAATAAAGACCAATCTAGGGTGACAACCCAGGCTTCTTTATCTTTAATGGTCTTGGTGAATTTTTCAACATTTTTAATAGATGGGGTAATCTAGGAGATGACCATTTTTTCTTTAAAAGCATTTGTCAGTCCATGATTTAAAAACAAAAAACAACAAACTTGCAGACTCTCTTGTAATATAAATACTACTCACTTTAAATTACAGAATAAAACACAGTACTTTTTATGAATTTCTTATAAATTATACCTGAACTATTCCCAAAAGTGTGGTCAAAATCTGGTCCACTAAAAGGAGGGAGAGCTTTTCCCCGAAATCTTTCCCATTCATTATCATCGTTTAAGTCCTGGGTCCAGAAACAAAAGCCATCTTCAAAATTACAGTTAATTTTCTCATAATCTGTGAATTACAAGAAAAAACATTTTACATTTAGTCCACAATGTTATTAGTTATAATAGATTGCCTTGAAAATGTCTAGCCTTTCATAGTTTATAATTAGGAAGCATGTGTGAAATGTTTCTTTTTTATTCATCTTAGCTGTTTCATTTCACTTAATTAAATATACCCCAGCATTTTGTGACCAACTGAGTTAATTTAATTTATTTTTAAAGATATCAGTTATTTATTTTTGCATAGAAGAGCTGGGGTATAGGCTAGAGGTATGGGCAGTGAGAAGATTCACTAGAGACAGAAGACTTACTGGGGAGCAGAACAGGTGGATTTTCTGAAATGCACTGCTGAGGGGAGCAGTGGGTGAGACAGGAGAGGTCTGCTGTGCCCTGTGGGTCAGCTCCCTGGCCACAGTTGGAACTCAGGCCTTCTGGTGAGAGTGCTGAGACTTAACCCTTAAGCCACCAGGGAGGTCTTTAATATGTTTCTTATACACCAGTAGGGTTAAGCAGAGAATGTTCTTCCTGTTCTTTGTTATAGATTACCTCATTCATTTGCCCACATAAATTTTATTCCAATTTTTCTTTCCCAGTTTAATATTCTGTTCAAAATTAAGTAGATGTGCAACATTCTCAGAATTAGTTTATTATATATAGTTTATAGTTTATGATATATATTTTATATTTGTATTATATAAAGAACTTAAATTTTTCTGTTGACATAATTTTTCTCAAACTAGTTGTTTCTTTTGAAGAATATGAAATATATTCTAATTTCTCATTTCTTTCAAGTAGAGACAGATATATATATCTATATATGTATGTATATATAGCTATATAAGGATATATATATGTATATATATCTATATAGGTGTGTATATATACATAGATATATGAGGATATGCATTAAGGAATTTATATACTAAAATATCACAATCATTCTCTAAAAATGCTAATTTTCAAATTCCATTTTAATATATTAAACATCTGGAGATTCAAAGGCTAAAGAATTAAAAAATACTTACTATTAATCTCTTTGCTGTTAAATGCAGTATATGTTACAGTAAACCCAATATAGTCATTTTTATTAGATGCTATAAGAAAGGTGGCAGTAACTTGGTTGGAAAAAATCCGAATTGTGCCAGGATTAGTTTCATAAAGAGAAGCTGCAAAATAAAATGAATGTCTGTCATATGTACTTATCTATCTATTCATCCATTTACCCACCAATCTATTTAAACATTAATGTTGCAATCTATAAATCTGTTGCTTTATCTATCAATCTATCTGCTACTACTCAGTTCACATTCTCTTCTTCATCCTTATTGTATTTCCTCTTGTGATTTCACTTCTATTTTTGTGGGCTTCCATGAGTAGTCCCATGCATTTTGGGATCAGATGGAATAAAGTGGAGTGGATACATGAATATTTTAGTGCATTCTCTGTTCTCAGCTTCCACTGGCAATCATGTACAAAATGACAAATGGTTAGGTACTGACTGTGCTACCTGCATCTACAATTTACTAAGTGTACATTCTGATCGAGTCATTGATTTAAACACTTTACAAGTTACAACCTTGCAAGAAACTGAAGAGAAGAGTGCATATTGAAATTAGCCAAAGAGATTCTGGGTTTTTAACTGGTTTGATGTCAGAAAAAAAAAAATAATTTTTAGGGTTTGTCAAATTTTGCTTAATGGGGAATAACACAAAGCATAATAACCAAAGATAAAATTAGATTTTTGGGGGTGGGGAATTGGAAATTGGCACGTGATTATTGCACATCAATTCAAAGAGGGTTATGTGAAAAGGAAACCATTTTACTAATTAGAAGATTAATCACATAGAACACCAAATTGTTATTTTTTTGTAATGGCCAGTGATACTTCTTTGTTTCAGTAACTTAACTTTCAAGTCCACATATGATTAAAAGTCAAAGGGAAAACATCACTCAAAAATGTTTTCCACATATTTTCATTTAAAAAAAAAATTATTTATGCTACAAGAACTGGGATAGAGGCCAGAGATTTAGGGAGTGAGAGGGCTCACCAGAGACAAAGTGGGGAGCAGAACAGGCATATCTACTGAAATACACTGCTGGGGGGAGAAGTGGTCAGGTCAGGAGAAGTCTGCTTTGCCATGTGGGTCAGCTCTGGGGCTGGGGATGGAACTGCTGTGGATAGCTTCATAGTGCTGTGCTTTAACCCTTTGTATCACCAGGGAGATACTCACATATATTCATTTTGATAATGTATTGTGTATTTATTTTAACTTACCTCTTAAAATCTTGTTTGTGCCCACACCTTCATAAATATTTAATACATCGGTGTAAAATGTATTAAAAGAATCAAAGCTCAGTTTAACGGAAAGTCCTTGGTTTACACTAAATTAAAAGCAAAAATTTGGTTATTATACTTTTAATACTGGTCATAAGTCTTAATGAATTCCAGAATTTCATTTTTTTTCTAATTTGATTAAAAAAACTAATGACAAAGATTGACATGCTTAGTATATTTCACGGGTGCAGTACAGTATTGTCTACCAAAGACCAAGTGGTTTACTGCAAGTTCTGGAACTTGTTCCACTTGCATGACTGAAACTCTAAACCCTTTGAACGGAACTTGGCGTTCCACCCAACCCCAGATGCTGGCAGCCACCATTTTCCCTGTGGTCTACACGTTTTTTTTTGTTTGTTTTTGTTTTTTTAATTAATTTGATCTTTGTGTGTGTGTGTATGCAAATTTTTATGTTTTTCTACATGTAAGATATTGTCATCTGTGAACAGATAATTTTACTTCTTCATTTCTTATTTGTATGTCTTTTTATTTTAATGATTGATTTATTTATGCACACAGAACTGTGGTACAGGCCAGAAGTGCAGGGGCCTTCACAAAGACAGAGTGGGGAGCAGAACAGGCAGATTGACTGAAGTACGCTGCTGAGGGGAGCAGGGAGCAAGACTTTAGTAACAGGGTAATACTGTTCTCATAAAGAGGGCTTGCAAATATTCCCTTTTCTTCAATTTTTGGAAAAAGTTTGAGAAATAATAATATTAATTCTTCTTAACATATTTGTCATAATTCACCAGTGAAACCATCTGGTCATGGGTTTACCTTTGTTGGGAGAGTTGACTGCCAATTCAATTTCCCTATCATAAATGGTTTGTTCCCACATAGACTCTCTCTTATGTACACATTCAGAATGTTTAGCACTGCTAAAATGTTAATAATATAATTCCAAGGTTGGGCTGGTTTAACCCTAAATATTGTTTAAGTGCATCTTAACCATTATTGAGGTAGTATAAAGGTGATATTACTCTATAAAAAAAGTGCTACCCTGAACATTAAGTTAGATCAACTCTCAGCCGAGAAGTAGTTTGATTATTTTGGTTATCATAATTATTGGAGTTAAGACCTTGGAGTTAAAAACATAGAAACTAATTCAAGTGTTACCCAAGTTATAGCAAAAAGAATGTATAGCGTATTCTCTCTTAATATGCTATGATTAAATCGCATCAAAGGCAGTCATCATACCTATGCTGGCATAAAGAGAAAGGAAGTAATTTGTACCCAGGATATGGTTGTATGAAATGTCATTCTTTGAAATACATAGCCAGGCATATTTGCTTTTTGCTTTGACAGCAATTTCTTTATAACAATCACAGAAGAAAAAAAAAAAAGCCCTGCTCCAGAGCTAATGAGATAATCCCATTCATTTGACAGTATTGCTCATAACTGGAATACCTTTTTAAAAACATTAAGCATGAAACAGAAATTTCTTTGGCAGCTGACTAGTTGAAAAGAATTTATCTCATAGCTAATGACAATAATAATTAAAAAATGAGTACATGGTTACAGGTGGCAACACTGACTGCATCAGAACAAGATTTCATGATTTAATAACAGGGAATAGATGGTATTTTACCGTATAATCCACTGACAAACAACACTGGATTCAGAAGGTTTTGGATGATGAGTAGCCTGGAATGACCCAGAAGATCTAGTCAACAAAAATTTTCCATCACAAACTGTTGCTGTGAAAGAATGGAAATTAATATCAGATTAAAAGCAACTTTGGAAGCTTTCTCAAGGGAAATGGGATTCAGGTTGTCTAAGGAAGGCTTCACAGAGAACTGTGTGACATGGATGAAGCCAGTTACACAACAGAAGTGATCAGTCAGTAGTAGATTAGAACTCATATTTAAACTCTACTAGGTCTTTGCTTCGACAGCACCTATACTAAAATTAGAACGGTACAGAGAAGATTAGCATGCCCCTGCACAAGGATGACATGCAAATTTGTGAAGCATTCCATATTTTTAAAGAGAAAATAAATAAAGTCTGTTAGTTATTTTCAAATACTCTTATACGCCCTATCAGAGTTCTTTAGAAAAACATTTCAAATGTGCATTTTTTAACACCCCTACATAAATTGTATTTTAGTATATTCTTTCCTATTTGTAAGAAAATAATATATCTGGATTATAAACTTCTAATTTATACAAATAACTTATTTTTGTCTTATTTTCTCCATTACATTGGAGTTAACACAAATTTCAAATATATGCACTAAATGCTATGTCCTGAAGCAATTAAAATATGGCCAGGCAAGTGAATGCTTGGAGTGAGTAAGCGGTAGGGAATCCTTCCAGCTAATCTATTTCTTTTCATTTTTAAAAGCATTTTATTTATTTTATTTTTGCATAAAAGAACTGAGGTGCAGGCCCAAGGTGCAGGGGTGGTGAGAGAATGAGAGAATTTACCAGACTCAGACTGGGGAACAGAACAGGTGTTTTGACTGAAATACATTGCTGAGGGGAGCAGTGTGCTAAACAGGAGAGGTCTGCTGGGCCAGGTGGTTGAGGAGAGGCCTGAGACTTAACCCCGACACCACCAGGGAGGTCCCATCTCCCTTATTTCATCCATCTTTTACAACTCAGCACTTTGCTCCATTTGTATGGACTCATCTCGATTCAATATTTTCATTCAATATTCTTGAAAATGTCTTTTGCTTTCCATGATTACTCATTTTATCCTTGGATTTTTTTTTTTTTTTGGTCATTTTCATTTCATAAAATTCTCTTTTATGTAATGTATGATTAGTTGTTTTTAGGTTACATTTGAATGTTTCCTACTAGGTTAAAATACTACTGAAAGAGTGAGTCATGAGCCAAACCTTGTAGTTTTGTGCCTTCTGCTGACACTATGTATATGTCTGTTTAAAAACAAAACAAAAAACAACAACTGTATACCAGAGACATTTTACAGGGGGTGGAGTGGGGAATGGGATCAAAAATGAGGTGGGGGAGTGCACTGGACTATGGTGATGGCACACGGGTGATTGGTGATGGGAAGCCCACGGGGATTACAATGGGGATGGAAAAAGGCACAAAATGTTGTAAAAATAAGCAATTATATTATTTAAAAAAAAATTTGATTTTCACAATCTTTAGTTTTAGTTTTTTTTTAAAGATTATTGCCTATATCCTTAATTACTTCTGCTTATAGCATATTCTAAAATAATGACTCGTGTAATGTGTTCTTTTTTGATTGATGGTTTTAGTTCCTTATTTGTCTGTACTGTTGCTGCTTTCGGAATCTGGGTGTCAGAATAAGCTGATTCTAAGCTGATGAATGGAAAAGTACTTTACATAGCAACTCTATCAAGCAATAAAATATAATAAATATATTTCATGTGGATGAAATAAAATAATTTAAAAACTAAACAGACATGGAAATCTTGTTAAAAACTCATGGATGACTTTTTGCAATTTGGTACATATATTTTAAAAACTATACAACTTACTTTGACAAGTAAGTCTTACGTTTCAAAGTCTATGTAAAAACAATTCCCTAGACCAATAGGCACAGAAAAAATGTTTATCATCACTTATTATCAGGGAAATGAAAAATCAAAATCAAAATGAGAAATTATCTCATACTTATGAGAATGGCCCACATCAAAAAGACCAAAAATGACAATTGTTGGCAAGGATATGGAGAAACAGAGCCCTCAGAAACTTATAGTGGAAAAATAGATTAGTCTAACCTCTATGGAAAATAGTTAAGGTGTTTCTCAAAATGTTAAAAATAGAACTATCACATGATTCAGCATTTCCACTCCTAGGTATCTATTCAAAGAATGCAAAACACTAATCCAAACGGATGTATGTGCCGCTATGATCATTGCGTCACTACTTACAATAACCAAGTTATGGGAATAACTTCAGTACCTACAAGCAGAGAGTAGACTAAGAAGATGTGGTATATTTACACATGTAATGATAATTTAGATAATTTAAAAATGAAACCTTACCCTTTGGCATAACATGAATGGAGTATACTATATAAAACAAATCAGAAAGAAAAATACAAATATTGAATTGTTTTATTCATATGTGGAATAAAAAGAAGCGAGTCAAAGCTACTGACAAAGATAAATCAAAATAAACCCTAGTAACCTGACTGTAGAATTGAGGTTACCAGAGAAGTTAAGTGTAGAGGTAAGGGGAAAAATGTGCAGTGGACTTCACTGGAGATCATGGGATGATTTGCTGGTGGGTGTATTGTGGCAGAATCCATCTGAAGAGTTGTCAGTCTCTACTCCTAAATCACAGAGTACGGTAAGCCAACTTTACCTCAATAAAAATAGTAGAGTTGGATAAAAAAGAACGATGGTTTAGGAATGAATTACATTGGACTATGATTTTGTAGACTGATTAACAACAGGAAACAAAAATTAAACTAATAAAAGAGGAAAATATAAACCCAAGTTACAGGATCAAACGCTGGACAATCTACCAGAGACCTTAGGAAAGGAAATAAAAGAAAATTGGGACTTGTTAAGAGAACTGAATCTCTTTAGTTCATTTACTGGATTACTTAATTATGTCCTACTAGGCTAATTTATAGATTTAATAAATAGTAAATATGTAAAGATAAATAGTAAAATATGTGACTTTTTACTGTAACTCTAAATAATTTTCTAGATAAAAAAAAATTTCCTTCTTCACCCTTAACTCTGCTCATCACCAATCATGCCAAATGAATGAAGCAATTAAAGCTGTAGCTTTGGTGATCATGTTAGTAAGCATGATCTTATATTTTATGTGACATATAGAGTCTTTCAATTATATAGTTCATCAAGAAGCATAATGCTCCCAGATCATAGCAATACAAGTTAGGTCAGTGCTGTTGAGAATAGTTCACATTTCTTGAAGTAGAATCATTAATCCAATTAGTTCTAAAATGTCACTGCCTAAAATGTCACCAAATGTTTATGCATTGTTTACTTATGTACCAGTCATTGTATTAAAGCTATTATATAAATATTAGTGAAATTTTCACAATGACCTTATAAAGTTTTAGGTGAGAAAACTAAGACATGGAAGGATTAAATAACTAGCATAAATTCTCCCCATTTGTATGTGGTAGTTAAAAACCAGGCTGTGTTTCTCCATAGCATGTTCCATAAACCTAATATTATAATACATAGGGGAAATCATGGGGACAGCACCCACTCTGAGTTGAAAGGCAGAAAGAAGGAAGGGATTGTATATGAAAGAAGCAGAAAATTTACAAATAAGAATTCCATCAGTTCAAGTACTCTTAAATTAGAATATAGTTCATGTTTGCAACTGCATTCCATAGCAAATAGGAGGAAAGGGGGAAACATTCAATAAAAGAGGGAACAAAACAGATTTAAGAATTTGTAACCCTATTTGCAGAGCTGGTCACATTTGAGATTATTCTTTACATTCATTTTGTCAGTTTTGGGGCCAATATTGACAACATAGTGCCGGCAGCAGGATTTATAAATTCCCAAAAAGCTGAATTATGTCACTGATGATGGACATGGTTGTGCTTGCTATAGTTTTTGAATCCCTTCCCAAGCACGTGAGTGAAATGCACTTTCCAAAATGGGACCATGTGACCTAGTCTGACCAATAAGTTATTACTATGGAAATGACTATGCTTATTTTCAGAGATGATGGCTACAAATATTTTCCGTCAATTTCTTTCTTATCTGTCAGATATCGCAAAGGTTCCAGGGAGGACAGTGAGGACACAGAGAATGGTGGAAAAAGAACTAGTATCTTGAATGCCTACATAGAGAACAATCCTTTGACATCTTCTTTGGCCTGTGACACAGATGATTTATTGTTCACTTATATTGCTAAGTGTGATTATTACAATATTTAGCCTGTCCTAAGGAATGTAATCAAGTAGCCTTTCCAGTTTTTCATAAAGATGCGAAGTTTTCATGGCTAGGGATCATCTACAGGTCAAGTCCTCTGAAAATTCATTGGTGAACTCCCGCATGCAAGTAAAGATAAAGAAGATATTCATGAAGGTGTTTAAAATAAAATTGTCATCCTATGAAACTACTTAGAACAGAAAACGTCAGAATGCCCAAATATTATCATTCCAGGATACCGCCTTGTCCTGGGAAATTTCTCACATGTTTTTTCATTTAATAGTGAGGTCTTTATATACAACCTAATTTTATATCAGACAGTTAAGTTGGTTAAATAATTAGAAAAAATAGAACTGTGGGCCCTCCCTGGTGGCGCAGCGGGCTAAAGCACAGCACTAAGAAGCTTAAGCCACTTCCGCATGAGTTCGATTCCCGCCTGCCCTGGAGGAGATCCACATGGTGAGGCAGACCTCTCCTG